TGGCGAGAAATAGAAGGCACGGTAATACAGCAACACCGTGCTAATGTCCGGTGTTACGGCCTTTCGGCCACCACAGCCGTACTGGGGGCCTCGCGAGGCAGCGCAGGGCAACTGCGCGCATTATTTTTACCGCACCACAACACACGAAGATGTCTAGGGTGTGCGTGGCGACGCAAGAAGCGCAAGCAAGCGAGAGAGCGAGAGGGTGAATGAGTGAAACCGCACGCAGAAGGGAAAAAACTCCTGTAGCGGTAGGTGTGAACGAAGATGGTGAAGATCACCCCGGGCAGCCATAGACCGTAAAAAGTGAACGGCGACGAGACGGAGACCAAGGAGATGAGGCAGCAGGGAAGGGTACTGTACTGAACACGGCGCACTCGTCGAGGTAGGACTGGTAGACGTCGGACTTCTGGATCGACTCGCCCGGCTTCCCAAGGACGGCGTAGCAGTGGAGCAGCCTGGAAAACCGGGGTGACAAAGACAGTCAGTTTGAACCGTTAGCCGGCGCCCCAGGCTACCACACCACCTGGTCGTCGACCCCCACGTGGGGGATCGGGTATGTTTTTCTCTCTTCAGTGGTCTGGCGCTTTGTTTCTCGGGTGGTTGTGTCTCGATCAAATAGAGAGACCTCGAGAGAGGTGTGTTCTCCCGATAAGGGTTTGGTCGGTAGGCGGGGAGGCGTATCAAGCGGTTGGCAGGTGGTGGATGATGTGATTAGAGATCAAACAAAATATGTTCGAACTTAGCTCTTTCGCAAGTCGCTATCAGTTTATGGTGGTCGGGCACCCGACGGGTGATCAAGCCCGAGGAGAGTAGGTTCGAATCGATAGTTCGGGAAAGAGATCGATCGATTAACCGTCTGGGTTGTTGGGGTGGGGCGGGGATGGGGAAGGGAGGGAGGCAAGTGTAGGAATAGTAGAGTACTCGTAAGAGAGCTGACCTCGGCACCCTTGGAGGAAGGCGGTTGGTGGCTGGGGTGGGAAGTAGAGAGCAAGCGAGTGGAAAGTCTGCTCTTCTCAATCCCGAGGCAAAAGTCGATGGGTTGCTGCCGCGCCTGACAACAAAGGGTGCAGCCCGGCCCACGAACGACCAACGGTGCCGCCCAACAACAGCGACACCGCGCTGACACACTTGCGCCGCTCTCGTGGAGGGACAGTGCGGCTCGTGTATGGGCAGTATAAATGGGCACCGGCAAAGTGGGGCGGCGTTGACTGAACAGCCTGCCTTCACCCACTTGCCTGAGGTGGCTATTTTTGCCGGCCTCAACCTCGGCAGCCACCTCCGCCACGGTGTGGGCCAAAGATGTTGCTGCCATCTTCACCCGGGCACCGGTGTGTGGGTGGGCTGCTTCCCCGACATCTCAACACGAGAAGCCGGGTGACAGCGTCGTCTGCCCTAACGCGAAAACGTGTAGGGGAGATGGGGTGTGGGGCAGTGGATATGGAATATGGATTGGATGTATCATACCAATCGATGACCCGCGTCTGCTCCTTCTTTCTCTCCTGCTCCTCAGAGGCCGCGCTGCTACTCGCGGTCGTGCCTGTAGTGGTGGCA